ACATACACAGGGGCCTGCAGTGAGATACCCTCAGTTCTGCTGCCTGCCCTTACGTGAGATCTGGGAGGGGGTGGATCCTGGTTTCACCCCTTCAAGTCAGTCACGTACATCGCATGCACCTGAGCTCCCCTGTGTCTGCCCTGCCTTCACAGCAGGCCCTCCGTCACCAGTTCAGGCTGTGACTTGCATTTTTGCTGCACTGCATCCCTTCGTGGCACGAAGCAGTGATTGAGTACAGTACCGGTAAGCCCTTTGCATTACAACAATCCGCGAGTTTGGCAGCCGAGTATAGGCCCGTTGTCACACTTAACGTGCTGCGGGCAGGGCGCCACTCCTTCGGTAACAAGTCTGCTGGTCTGTCTTGGACTTCCCATATGAATAATACACGAAGTCCAAAAAAAAAAAAAAAAAAAAAAAAAAAGGATCTGAGGCTTCCAAATCCTCTGGTTGAATTTCAATCTGCTTGACTTTCTTCTTATTCTCGATTGAACCGAGATCTGTGGATTCCCTTGATCTAACTCTTTTTTCCCTTCTAATGATACGGTTCTTAATTTTAGAGGGGAAGTGCCATTTGAGGATAAGGCAGTTTGCCCCCTCAGAGACATAGTTTCGTTTTCCAGTTGTCTATTATGAGCCATTGGAAATCTGATTTACATCTTTTTCGAAGAAATAGTACACATTAAAAGTTGGTGGTAGCTGCTACGCTACAGCGGGTGTTGTTATTACTCTTTTCTCAGCTGTCAAAAAAGTTTGATTTCAATTACGCAAGTATTCAGCCATTTTTGAGGGGCTTCTAATAATGGAATCATTGTTCCTTCTAGGTTCCTCTTTTTCAATCTTTTTGCGTAGCTCATAACCGCAAGGAACCCTGTAACCATCGAACACACCAGCTTTCTAAGAAAATCCTTCTTAAACAAGTATATTGCTGCCACACCCACTTAGCTTACCTAACATTATGCTGTGAACGCACTGAAAAGCACAGCAATAACAGGAGCGTAGCAAACTCCTAGGCCGCAGCGAGAAAGAACTCATTCAAACACGATAACCATAGATACAGAAAGAGGAAATCCACTTACCTCGCAAAGATCTCAGGCATGTAGAGGTCTTCAGTTAAATGCTCTCGCCTCCCCTGCTGCCCCTTTTATGCGATGTGGGAAGGGGTGGGTTCTGGCTCCACCCCTTCCGGTCACTTAAATACATCGCATGCAGCTGAGCTCCTGTAGGTTAGCCTTGCCTTTCCAGCAGGTACTTAGTCTCTGTTTGTGACTCAGTGTTTCTGCTTTTCTTGTAAGGAATGTAATATATTTTTTTTTTCTTGTTTTCAGGTTGCAGACAGTAGGCTGTATGCCACCTCCTGTGTCATCTGCAGTAATTTTAACCAAAGCTGTCGGTGGAAATGAGGTGAGCGTTTTCTGTTTTCATTTCTGAAATGTTTTCTTTCTCCAAAAAAGAAAACACCAATGAAGCACAGGAGTTCAAGAAAGTGTTTTTTTACAATGAGTTTGTGGGGCAGAAAGCTTAACGTAAAACCTCTTTAATTGAAGCTTGGGTATTGCGTTTGTGTCACACAAGCGATACGGTGAGAAAAACTCAGCTATCTGAGATGACCGAAAGGGTTTTGTTAGATATTACAACTGATTGGAGTCTTTGTGCTTGTTACTGCACTCTATTTCCTACTCGTATAATAGTTCAGTGCTATGTATCGGTTCTTTCACAGACTGTGAATTTAGTGGGTAAGAATTACACTTGTGGGGGTTGTGTGAATGGTGGTTATGATTAAGGGGTCCTATTGCAAAAGTTTCTCAAGGCACAAATGAAGCATGATGAGAGACTCCTGAAGTTAATGAGGTCTTAACATGTTGTTAGAGAGCGTGATAATAAAGTTTGGGAACTGTGAGTTTTGGTCAGTGTTGTAGGACAAAGACCTCAGCGGGACGGAAACGCCAATATCGTGGTTGTCTGTGCGAAGCTTTTTCTTCCTCTACAGCATGCCATTCTTAGGAGCACCAGGTGGTTAACGTTTAGGAAACAAATACAGGTGTCTTAATGTGGTTCTTCCTTTTTAGCTCTGCGTCCTTATACCTGCAGAAGCTGGCCGAAAGGTAATGGGTGAGGAAGGGGGAGTGCAGCACTCGGGAGGCTGTTTGTAACACTAAGCGTTTCAAGGTGCTCTTCTAGACAATTAGAGCTGAATTTTAATTCAGCTAGGGAGTTAGTTCCTCTGCACGAGGTTGGGTGAATCACCTTTTTAAATTACGGCCGTTGGTTGCACAGGTATCATTGTTTGAGTTCAGGCACTCGGGACCGATTGATGTCAGCTTTGAAAACACACGATAGGACTGACATAGATTGAAGTTGTATTTTGTACTGACGAAGTGCTGCGTCATTCATCTGTCCTCTGAAGAGAGACCCAAGCATCCAAACTCAAGCATCTCTAATTCCGGGTAACCCTGATGCATAGCGCTATCTGCGTGCTACCTGATATCCAGGGCGGTAAGAAATCCTGATGTAGATGTTATCAAGTGGATTAGTTAGTGTAAGGAAATGTTATTCGACAACAGGGAAGTAGTAATGTTTGAGCCAAAGAGAAGTAAGTTTTGTTTAGTTATGATTCTAGATTGATCGTGCTGTAGGTGGTACCGAAATGCTACCGAGCGACCGGTGTGGATGGAACGAGCTACGGAATGAGCAGCGGTTCAGCGTTAGCGGCGTGTTTTCTGTCCTTGCAACAAAGAGGAAGTACTCTGTGGGGAAAAAGAAGGTGCAATGTGTCGGTAGGAGGCAATATGAAAAAGCATCTGTGTGCGGGGGTGAGGGAAGTAACATGTGGGCGATTAGTGTTTACTGTTATGCCATAGTATTCTTTCGGTGTGGGGTACATGTGCCTAATTTTCAGCAGCTGCGAACTGGGCATTCTGTCATAGAATCATAGAATCACCAAGGTTGGAAAAGACCTAAAAGGTCACCCAGTCCAACCGTTCACCTATTCCCAATAACAACTCCCAATAAACTATGTCCCTCAACACAACATCCAGCCTTTCCTTGAACACCCCCAGGGTCGGTGACTGCACCAGCTCCCTGGGCAGTCCATTCCAGTGCCTGACCACCCTTGCTGAGGAGTCCTACTTCCTCGTGTCCAGCCTGAATCTCCCCTGCCATAGCTTGAAACCATTCCCCCTGGTCCTAACACTAATGACACGAGAGAAGAGGCCGACCCACAGCCTCACTACAACCTCCCTTCAGGAAGTTACAGAGAGCAATGAGGTCTCCCCTGAGCCTCCTCTTCCGGAGGCTGAACATTCCCAGCTCCTTCAGCCTCTCCTCATACGGCCTGTGTTCCAGACCCCTCACCAGCTTTGTCGCCCTCCTTTGAACGCATTCCAGGGCCTCAATATCTTTCTTGCAGTGAGGGGCCCAAAACTGGACGCAGTACTCGAGGTGCGGCCTCGCTAGCCCTGAATACAGGGGAACAATCACCTCTCTGCTCCTGCTTGCAACACCGTTCCTGATGCAAGCCAGGAAGCCATTGGCCTTCTTGGCCACCTGGGCACACTGTCGGCTCACGTTCAGCCGAGCGTCAATCAATACCCCCAGGTCCATTTCCTCTATGCCGTCCTCCAGCCACACCGCCCAAGCCTGTAGTGGGGTTGTTGTGGCCGAAGTGCAGGACCCGGCATTTGGCCTTGTTGAAACTCATCCCATTGGCTTCAGCCCAGCTCTCTAGTGATGTCATGTGATGTTTGGGTAGTCTTTGTGTATGTGACTGCCGGAGTAAGCACAAACCTGTAGTTCTGTGCTAAACTGGTGTTGCTGAAATAAAAAAAAAGACATACTTATTAAGTTTTTACAGGTAGCTGTTAACAAGAGAGTGAATCAGGAGCTGGGCCTCGGGAACTGGAAGTTCTCAGTCAGCCTCTAGGGATACAGGACATTAAATGGACTCCAATCTTGGTGGGTCTTTTTCTACTTGGGTTATTAGATCAAGGTATGTGGAAGAGAAACAGCTTTTAAATCCGCTTCTTCTAAATGAAGTCTGAGGCCAGTTTTTTCTGAAGCGGAGGGGCTTTCCAGTGCTAGCTGATTTAGGAAAGAAGGTGATTGTGCGCTTTCTTCTTTGTACTAAGGGAGGAGAGCCTGTTAACGTTCTTTGCCAGTACTCACCTTAGCCTTTGCTGCTATCTTTCTTCTGCCGATGTGAGCAGAATGGTGCTGGTTTGTTTTTTTTTTTTTTTTTTTTTTTTTTAGATTGCAATTAGTTTTTAGAGACGAACAAGAATTTAAGTGTGGGAGTCCTTTACAGAAAGAGGCGATCGGGCTGTCAGAATGATCGTTCATGACAATGTCTTTCAAACTGCTTTTGCTTCATCAGGCGTTCCCTTTACCTACAGATTGACTTTCCTAATGGTGTATAATGTTAAGTGAAGACAGAAGATTTGCTCACAATCAGTGTAATGAAGAAGCATCTTGTGAGCTAGTTACTTTGTGAGCTGTCCCACCCTTGCAGAGTACCGACACGCTAACAGCTCAACAGACTTCTTGAAATGCAGTAGGTGGGAGCGATGCCGGTTGACTGCTACAGCAGCGCAGATGCTCATAGGCTGTATTTCAGTTGCAGCGACTGCTGTGTGTGTGTGTGGATGCTTGGAAATTCTGAGGAAAGTATCAAGCCTGGGACTGTCCAAGCGCCTGTGCCATGGTAGGAGTTGCACTCAGGGGGGGCTGGTCTGTGGTTTACAGCTTCCTCTGTCACTCACTCATTGGGTAAAACTGAGTTGGGGAGCACATCAGTGGGTTTAGCTGGGACAGATACAGGCCAGTTATTTCTGCAGCGTTAGAAGTTCAGGACTGAAAAGCATTATGCAAGCTGCAGTTACCTTTGGGGGCAGGGTGCTAGAGTATTTGTTTGAGTGCGTAAGAAGTATCTATGTGGTTTATTTACAGTGAGATTGTACTGTATGCAGGCAATTAGATTGCTAGTGTTACAAGATCCATTTATTTTATTTGACGGTACAAAATAAATTGTTGCAGTTTTACAGGCTAAAATAGGTCCAGCGAGCAGAGCTCTCACTTAAATTTACCACTGTATATTTTTATTCTTGCAGAAGGGACCACTCTGTGATTGTCGTTGGCTGTGCTTGAATCAAGTGTCATGTTATAACTCAGAATAGTGGCAGCTATGCAGGCTACTGGTATTTGTCTCTCTGCTCCTTCCAACACACGATACATGGGAGAAGTCTTCCAGGTACACATCCTCTTGACCTGCTCTCTGATTTTTTTTCCATGATGGCTGCATTGCTCAGGAGTATAAATGAAAAAATAGCAGTAGGAAAAATAAATTTGATTGTGCATGTCATTTGGATGGTGTTTAAAGAAAATAGAGCAGCTCAAACTGGCAGCAAGTGTGGACAAGCCCCAGGCAAAGTTTCCTGGAACAGACCAGGGGAGAATAGGAGCACATCCCTATTTCTGCTTACTTCTTGTTGTCAAAAACAGAAATTTAATGGTTTGAAATTAAGCACACAGTAGTATTACTGAAAAGTAAGCCCCAGAAAAATGCAATTTTTGGGAGCGGCTTTTTCACATCTTTAAGTGAAGTACATAACCAAAAGGCAAGCCTTTTGTGCAAAGTCACAGGAAAGACTGATTTCTCTAAAAGTAGCTTAAGCTCTTTGAACTGTGTCTTCATGCACAGTAACCTTTTAAAAGTGAAGGAAGAAAATAAGTAGTACAAGCTGTGGCAGTTGGAGTCACACACCAGTACATCCTCGTAGAGTGGTTGCCTGTAGAAGGTAACACAAAGCAGTTGTTTCATAACGCTCTAGATATTCACATCAACCATGTGCTGGGGTTTAGGTGTCTTGGAAGACGGGGGTTCTTGTTAAAATACATCAGTACTCCCTGTCACAGTACTTCAAGTGTCATTTTCACATGGTGCTTCGCCTAAAAGTATCCAATACTATTTGTTTGTTTAACAAGCGTCCTCTTACCCTCTCCTTTTTAAATTGACTCCGTCACTTGCCATAAACTTAACATGAGCTTTAAAAATAGTTTTGCGAGTTCTAAATTGCCTACTCACAGCCTGAATACTTCTAGCTGAAAGCATAATTAAGTCTGCCATCAGGTACTAAAGGCATGTCTCCAATAAACTTATATAGGTGTCAGAGGACTATTTAAGCTAAAGTATCTTTACTGCGCATGTAACCATTATGCAGACCTAACTGTACAGGCATAACCATTTTATGCACATTGGAGCTGTTACGCTATTAAATTAAGCCAGTCTCATTTTCATTAGTCTAACCTTCTATTTATCCTGAGAGTTTTCTTTTTGTCATAACTGTACTGTGAGCAGATGGTTTTCATGTGACCATCTCTTGTCACTTAACATTCTTCTGTGAACAGGGAGGGCATTTAGTATCCATCAGCGCCTGGGAGAAGCCCGGATTATTACTTACAGTGCAGTTGTCATCGCTACGAGCTTCGGTAACACAGCTCCAGTAGAAATCTGTGGAGTTCCTCATCGTCTTTTCAGGTCCTCAGGAACCCCGAGCTGTTGTGAGCTCTTCTTAGTTTTTCCTCCGATCTCATTTATCACCCGTAGCTCTGAAACAGATTTACAGTTGAAAGGAGCAGTTACTGAGAGCATTCATCCCTGCTTTTAGTTTACCAGAAACGAGCTCAGGTTAATCGAGGGCCCTGCGGTCGAGCATTCCTTCTCTACTTCTTAGCTTGCATGTTTTTAAAGCTTCAGGTTCTCACAAGGCATTTGAAGAGCAGCTGACTTTCCACAGTAACATAACCAACAAAGTAGTTTTGTGACAGACGGCTTTAATTTGTGTCTGGTTACTAAAGCTTTTAGCTCAGGTTCTCGTCTCACAGCTCCTAAAGCATCTCGTGGTAAAATCTTGTCTCCTACTCACCTGAAAGCGTGCAAGACAGATTTTTTCTGATTGTCACAAGTTGTTCTTGTACTTTGGGGCATTCATCCAATATCTTCTTTCCTCCTTTCTTTGCGACGTGCTGTTAAGATCCCCGTTCTCTCCCTCTCTACGTGTCACAGAAATCCATCCCACTGAGCCTGCTAACCAAATGTGAGCTGCAAGGGAAAAATGCATACAGCAAAGATGAGGTAAATGCCAGGGAAACTAACAATTAATGCTAATTTTCTTTTCTGCACTAATTTATGATGTAGCCCGTACGCATTTGGGAAGCATTGTTACATCAGCGTGCTTTTAACAGCTTCGCCCATAACGCAGGCAGTCACGAAAGCTTGATTCCTTGGAATTACATCTGAGCACCTGGGCCCTGTCCGGCAACCATTTTGAGACATCCCAGCCTCATGTGTTCAGGATTATACTTGCACAGCCAACCACCCTAAGTCTGACTAGGTAAGTGTTTTCAGAGGCCTCGCCGTCACTCTGTCACAGGGCACAGCCAGGATTAAGGTCTTTTTAAATCTATCTGTTCTGGAACACGCAACAAAGCAGGAAGGTGTTTGTGACATAAGGAAATCGGGACAGGAAAGGGGTCTTGTTCTCATACTTGGTTAAAAAAAAACAAAAAAACAAAAAAACAACTTTGTTTCTCCGTATCACCCTGTGGGTTACTTCTGGTTAAAAACAGAGAGTGCAAAAGCTTACCTTATCGAGCACAGAGCACACTATGAAATGCACTGCCTAAAGAAAGCAAGCATAGGTGTTATCTGAATCAATCAGCAAAACTGGTATTGAAATACTTCCAGAGTGAGGTCTGCTGCCTGCTAAAAGCACGCTTCTGTACCCTCTGCTGTTTGTTATTCATAGCTGTTTGATGAAATATTAAGTCTGTTTCTTGTGAGGTATAAGAAGGTAACTTGACTTTCCACAGAGCTTGAAGCGAAAGACTAAGAGAGCAGCAAAGACCAGGGGGGTCGGACTCTACGATCTGTGGGGGTCCCTTCCAACCCCTGCAATTCTGTGATCCTGTGGAATATGCAAAAGGTGACAGCCATAAGAAAGTAAGAGTGATTTCTTCGTGGTGGTGGCTTCTCACACAGCTGCAATTGCACAATGACAGCAGGTGTAGCACAGGGGTCATTTTCTGACAGTTACCTTGAAGTTGCATACAGCAGGTGACTGCGGCCCGAGCTGCAGTACAAGGCCCATTCCGGTTCTGCTGTCCTTCACCGGCTGGCTTAGAAAACAAACAAAAAAAGTTCAGTATTAGCTTGTGTTTAGCAGTAGGTGAATAAGTTCATTCATCCCATATATTAGCATTGCTGTTAATTTAGCTATACGGTAGAAGAAAAACCTGTTAGCGCTGCTGCTTCCCTAGGCAGTTTGTGTCAATTGCTCACGGCAGAAATTATTTACTGTGACTTTCGTAGATGCACCCAGCTGCTTGCCTGGGGGGGAGGGGGGGTCTGGACTTCCGCGGGAGCTTAGCTGGCAGTATCTCTGTTTCTGTCACTGAATGAAACAAAGTCTTTGTGTTACTAATAGAAAATCCGCAATGCTAATGCATAGCAGCTTTAGTTGTCAGAAAAGGCATTTTCTAAGTCTCTCTAAAAAGAGCATTAGAAATCGCGTGGAAGATTGCTAAGTTTAAGGATTTGAGAAATACCTCTCATTTAAAGATCATTGGCAGCTCACTGCAGATCAGTATAATTCAAAGACATCTATTGAGATAACATTGCTTCTCCTGTCTTATATTTATTTGTCACTTGCTCATCCAAAATACAAAAAGCTTTTGGTTATTTTTCTGTGGAACAAGTATTTTCATCTAGGATTAATCTATTTCACACAGTAACTCACTCCAACCTATGGAGAAGAAAGTACTCGAGCTGCGTTCAAGCTTGCCCATTGAGCTTTTCAGCTATTTACCTTTTTCAGCTTCCTTGTCAGATGTATGACTTTATTGCTTACTTGTAATCAATCACAGCAACAGAAAGTTAAGCAAGATGTTATCAAAATAGTTGTTGTCTTAGATACTTATTTTTCCAATCAGGTAAATGTAACATCCCTTTAGTGACGGCAAAGGTGTTGCTTCTCTTGTAGCAACATATTCCTTTAGAATGTATTCATTCCTATCCTTTTCCGGAATTATTAAAAATTCAGTAACTGAAATGGTACGAGAACAACCTTATCTATGTAAGGATGTAAACAGGTAATATCTTCATCTTTACTTACAAAAGCAGAGCAGACCAACTTACTTTCAATGGAGCTCAACCCTGAAGACGGGATACTTGGCACGGTTTTTTCTCATCCTCTTTTCAAAAGGGTTTTTGTCATCTCGGGGCTTTTTTCTTAGAAGGACTCTTTGGCTGAAGAGCATGGAGAGCAACAGAGCAGCAGGCGTCCTGTAATTCAGAAGCATTACTTCAGGCATAACCATGTGGAACATCTTGGCTTTATTAGCCATCTGAAGACAGAAGCTGCCAGCTTTTAGAAAAGCCACTCGCCTCCTTGGAATTCTTTTTCACAGCTAAGGTCCCCAGAGCCAGGCGCTTTCCTGTTCAGGTACTAGGAGAACAACTACTGCAGAAGCGCACACTCCTGCTCTTGCGTGGGGAGCCCTTGTGCAAAGCTGGGTGCTTTCTGGAAATGTTTATGGACGCGCAAGAAGCAGATCAGCAAAGACAGCATTGTACTTATCAACCAAAACAACCAGAGGCTAATAAAGTGTGCCAGTTTTCTTCTCACTCGTGTGAAGTCTGTCTCCTTGCTGTAACCCTTATCATCTACTCCTACAGCAGAAGTCCTCATCCACTGAAGCTTGAGGGTGGATCCTTCGGCAAGACTCTTTTCTTGTTGCAGTCACCTAAACTCTAACAGGCTTTCAATACCATCGAGCGCATGCACATCCACTGCACAAGTTTCATCTTCAACTGCATACTCAAAAGTCCTTCAAAAGGAAATCTTAACACACCCCTCAGGACGGAGTTATTACACACAAACGACTTTTAGTCTAAGATGCAGATTGTAACAAGGAGTACATACTTTAAAGCATATTTCGAAGCTCGCAAGTGAAACCTTGCCATCAGGCGCTACTCACATCACACACCCTTCAAGCCTTGTCTCCTACACCCCAGTTCGGGCAATAGGATCACCACCAAAAAGCACCCACCACCCAGGCAAGCCCCAGCACCAGTCCCCAGCACCAGGGTAACCCCACTACCCAAGTGAGTGAGCTCTCATCCCTCAGGCACCCTCCATACAGGAGGGGCCCGAAGGCAAGACACTCACAAAGCAGAACCCACCCTCCCTCCAAAAAAAAAAAAAAAAATATCTCTTTTAAGATAGCGTAAAATTTTCGCGGTATAAAAAACAAAAAATTCGGAAAAACCCCGTTGGAAAATTGCCCCAAAAACCCCCCCCCCCCCCATTGAGCTACCCGAAACACAAATTACTAATATTCTAAGTAATACTCACACAACAGAAAACAGGCTTCGGCAGCCAGCATGGGAAACCACCAACAGCTGAAAAAAAGGAACAAAGAAACAAGAGTGCTCCAAATTGTAACAACTAAAACACCAACAGCAAAGAATAAAAAAAAACCCACAAAGACACAATAGAGTGCTAAATGCTCTGCCGCACCCAAAACACCAACAGCTTAACAAAAAAAGAAAGGAACAAAGAAACTAGAGTGCTCAAGATTCTGACACAACCAAAACACCAACAGCTTAAGGAAAAAAAAAAAGACAAAAACATAAACCGAGAACCAAAACACCAACAGCAAAGGAAAAAAAAACACACAAAGAAATTAGAGTGCTCAACATTCTGACACAACCAAAACACCAACAGCTTAAAAAAGACAAAAACATAAAGGGACAGAGTGCTCAAGATTCCGACAACCAAAACACCAACAGCAAAAGAAAAAAAAAAAGCACACAAAGAAATATAGAGTGCTCAACATTCTGACACAACCGAAACACCACCGATGTGCACCACTCACCGGAAAACGAAATAGCCTGCTTCTCGGGTCATCTGAGGTTCCCTTGGCTCCCAATGTATCCTTCGGCACAGCCCCACCTCGTTGCTGCAGCTCCCCCAACAAGACAAAGACGACGGCAGGATTCGAAGCCTTCCTCCAGGAGATGGACTGCACAAAAAAAAAAAAAAAAATTACTACACCCTTGTAACCCCACACCAAGCACTTGCGCATTACTTACCTCTGCTTGAACGAACCCCATTCAGCTGCCACACACCTTCAAGGCTGAAAAGGAAGCAACACAAAGCAGGATGGAGCCTGGCCTCCAGAAAGAGCCCAGGCACCCCCGCAAACCACAGCGCTTCAATTCCCAGCACCCTGCTAGAGCCGAAAGCCCCATTCCGACAGAGAGACACAAGTACACAGCTCACCTCTGTCTGAAGGACCACCGACAACTGCACAGCAACAGGATCCTCAGCCTAGACGCGCAGGAAGAAGAGCTCCTGCAGAGAGACAAAAACAAAGCACAGAGAAGTGGTCAGATCGCCAGGCCACCGGCACTCACCTCTTCTCCCATTACTGACACACATCACCTCTCAGGCTCGTCCTTGCAGGAAAAACGCACCGCTGAGGCCATTACCCCGCAACAGAACTGCTGCACCTGTGAATACACAGATATTACAACAACACAAAATGCATACAGGGCTTACCCTTGACCCAGGCTCACCGTAAAACTCCAAGAGAAGCGATCCCAGGCTAGAGATTCATCCCCACCAGGATTCAGCTCTTAAATGGAGTCCAGGAGACACGGAGCCAAGCTCCGCCCCTGACGGCAGCATAGGTGAATTGCCTTCACCTGTGCTCCCAGAGCTGACTCATTCCTCACCTCCTCAGGTGGTCAATCAGAGGCTCAGGCTGTGATTCAGCGGTTCACCTAAAAGGAGAGAAACAGTGGAGAAGACAAAAAAAAAAAAAAATTATCTGCCGTCGCTTCCGTTTTCAGCCCTTCATTCTGCTTCTCACCCGCAGCAACAGGGGCATTAGGGCACCCGGGGGAGCACAGGGCGTTGCCGCATTCTACTCATCCCGGAAACCGCAGCACCTGTAAAACAACCACGTGTGAGCTGATAGCAACTCAGGGAGCTGAGCACCAACCCCCCACCACGAGGAAAAACAAAAAAGCCCTTAGGAGCCTAGCAAGCTCCAAAACAGCACCACGGTGTTCCCTAACGGCAAGGGGAGCCCAGCAGCAGCCCTGTACCGGCTCCACAAAGAGCTGAGAGAGAATCCAGAAGCTGCCTGCCACCAGTGCCCCTTCCTTGTACTCCCCACCTCCTCCATCTCACCAGTGCCGGAACTGCTCACCTGTTTAAGCTGAGCCTTGATCCTCAACACCTCACCGCAGCAGCTCTCACTCACCCCACTGCAGGAGTAAAAGAAACAAAACAAAACAAAGCAAATAACAAAGGAACTCTTGATCTCAGGCTTCGTTTATTAACCCCAGCAGCAGCAGCAGGTCGCAGAGGGACAGGACCAACAAATCCACCCCGCTCACTGCCATGGCAGCAAGAGAGGCAGAAAGGACCCAAAGCCCTCTTCAGAACCAGACGTATCTTTAAGGTAACGGAAGCCCAGCACCGCCACTACCCCAGCCCCCAGAAGAGCAGAATGGGAGCTCAGCAGTCTCACGCCACAGGCAGGGAGCCCCTAGCGACCCCCCGGGCAGTAGCCCACACGCCACAGAAATGGCCTCAGGGAGCACAGCCTGCGTACTCCCATCGGTGCCAGAAACAATCCTCGCTGCAGGAGGCCCCGCTGTTGTCCTCAGTCTGAAACACAAGAGAAAAACAAGAGAAAACACCAAGTTAAACGAGTCAACCATATTTTGATCTTAAGGAAAAAAAGAATAGCCTCGTGCTGTTTCTCACACCCAGCAGCACCAGCCTAAGGAGCATGGTCCTTAGTCACGCTTACTTACTCGACATACTTACTCGAGCGCCTGCAGCACCCCCAAGCCACCCAGCCTCGCTGAGAAGGTAGAGCGAGAACCAGACTACAAAAGCACCACGTGGGTGCAAAAAAGCCAGGCAGGCGCTGCCCCAAAGCAGGCAGCGAGAGCCTGGCAGTAGGCTCTCCGGACTGGCTATAAAAAAAGGGGAGCCCAGCAAACTCACGCCAGCCCCAAAAAGAGCAAAAAAGACCCAAGCCTACAAGCAGGAGCCCTACAGCAGCTCCAAAAAAAAAGAGCAGGGAGACCCACAAAA